CATGACTGCGGGGTTCCGGACGTCCTGGGTCTTCTTGCCCTTATAGTGGAGGGTAGACATTACCCAGCGCGGGCTGTTGAGGCTCCTCGTCCCTTCTCCCCCAGAGAGACCTTGGTAGCAGAGGCCATCAATGACTTCATGGGGGATGATGGGCCGGTGTCCCTCAGTCCACCCCGGTCCGTTGGCAGCCTTCTTCATTGGAGACTGCAAGTCGCGATCATGAGGCTTATCCCCAGAGAGCGGCGCCAGGGGTACCTCGAGCCGAGGCGTTTTTTGGTCCCCGGCTCGGGAGCTGCTCCAAGGACCGGCTCCGATCGGCCAATTAGTTCATCGAAGGGCGGTGTTACTGCCCCAGGACCATCCGGCCGATCGGAGGAGGTAGGTTCTGTGCCGAATAGGAGCTCCTCTGTCGATGGCGGTGACTCTGCCTCCAGAGGACCAACCCTGCCTGTGCGCCCCCCACCGGTGGCAGTCTATGACTGCCACTTTCACCTGGATGCTATGTTAGCGAGAGGCAGGGCAACCTCCTTTCCTGACTTGGCAGCTCAGGAGGAGGGTGGGGACATAGTCCTTCTGGGCGGGGTGGCCAATTATGCCTACCCCGACAGCTGGTCTAGGCGTCAGGGCCAGGTGGCAGGTGACCCTAGGGTCAAGGTGGCGATTGGCCTGCACCCTCATAAAGTGGGGAGGGGACGCCACCTGATGGCCTTCCTGCAGCAGCTGCGGGACCCGGCCTGTACAGCTATAGGGGAGGTAGGCATCGACCTGACCTCCAATTGTGGCTGTGCGGGACAGTGCCCCAAACCTGCAGAATGCCGGCAGCAGGTCACCAGGGATCAGGTCACCACCTTGACCACTGTCCTACAAGGGGCTGTGGTTGAGGGTGGTGGCAGACCAGTGATTATCCACTGCAAAGATGGGGGCAGTGGCCGAGCAGCGCAGGAGGCCCTCGGATGTTTCCAAAGGGTGCCAGGGGCCTCCACGCTGGCGGTGCATTGGCACTGTTTCACGGGGTCTGTGGAGGATATTGAGGCTTGGCGGCAGCTGCTGCCGAACCTCCATATTGGGGTGACGGCTCTATCCCTTAGAGCCCCCTCCACGCGACTGGCCCTGGGGGGCATTGACCCTAGCAGATTATTGCTAGAGTCAGATGCCCCCTACCTGGTGCCTACAGGAGCCGGGGTTGGAATCAACAGCCCCTGGCTCCTAAGGCATACCCTGGAGGAGTTGGCCTCGCTCAGGGGAGATAACGTGTATCTCCTGGCGAGCCAGCTCAATGCCAACGCCAGGGGGTTCTACTCTTTCGAGTAAGGGGCATAGCTAGCCAACTGTCATCGCCAGTTGTATGGCACACCTGCAGTGTGGGGAGGGATCACTTCCCCACCAGCTTACTCCTGCACTCCGTGCGAGTAACCCCTCAGCACGTTAGAAGTACGGTGGTAGTAAGGGGAGTGGGATTCTCTCCTCCTTAACTCCAAACTCAAAGTGGGGGGCACTAAAGTAGCCCCTGGACTTGTCTGTGGCATCCACAGGCAGGGGAGGTTAAGCTTCCCTATTATCCTCTAAAAACCAAGTCATCCTACATCTTTCTACAAATTGGGAGGGCATTCTTTCCCTGAACATTTTATTGGCTACCTAGGTTCCTATTGTGATAAGACAGCTCCCTTCGCCAGTAATTGGTAGGATAACAGCTTAAATGGGGCCGCCTACAGGCAGCATGCCCATCAATGCAATTTGCAGGGGGAACACATTGTCGTATCGACCAACAGTGTTGCCACGTTCCCCGTAGCTAATGTTGGGCACTGTCACGGGGAGACTATTCTCATACTTATCAAGGCACGGGGTGGCTGTGCCTATCGTGTGGATTGTATCCATAGCCGTGGTGTTCCTTGGGGAGATAAGCCCAGCAAGTCTAGAAGCTGTGATTATTGAGGCCTTAATCAAACACTGGCCTCCACCACTAATCTCATCTCCAAATGGGTAAGGTAGGACTGTGCTTAACATATTGTTACTTAAGGAGTTACTAAATAACTTGTCGCTCAATTCTAGAGGGGGACAATGTATTATCTACTTAATAGGGGTTCCGACCTTCACAAAACACTGTTCACTTAAGGGGGGATCTGACCTTCACAAAACACTGTTCATTTAAGGGGGATTCTGACCTCCCCATTAATCCACCTCTGGAGGGCCGACATCCGTCTGGCCGACGCCAAGCGCCAACACCTAGGCGGTTTCCGATCAATGGACTTCTTCCTGGCCATAACCAGGCCCCAGAAAGGGTCTTCATAAAACGGGGAGGAGTGTGGTGAATTTCGGGAGAGTTATCTCCCTTGGACCGTGGACCGCGGCGACACGAGATCTCGTGAGCTACGCGATATCATCGCTGTGACGCGTTGGCGCGGTCTCTTATACTTCTTGATATCGAACCAGCAACACGTGAGTGAATTTCCTCCACCTTGTCTTTGATTTCAGGAGCTGAGAGCATTTACAACTACTTGTTGTGACGGTGTGTTAATAACACACACCGAATTCACGACATAACTATTACAAACCGTCAATACTGTAGCTAGATATCTATACAAATCCTTCTAATATATGAGTACAACTAAGTTCAGGCTTTCTTATTGCAAAGTCTAAATATTGTATATATTCAACAATACTTGAAAAGTTAATATAAAATCTTCTTCTCATTGTGTTATTCTTTCCCTTCTACGCCTTTAATTCGAATGTCTGAAAAAAATGCCAATTTATTTATCAGAAACAAAAAATTAGATAATAGTAACTGCTGAACTGTACTGGCATACACACTTTTGTGTCGAAAACTGTTAAGCATCGTTATATGAGGAGTTTTAAACTTGATGTAATACTATCGATTGTTGAATCGCGTAAGGTGTACAGCATACATTTTGATATTATGCATGACCTTACTTTGCGTAATTGTTCAACAGTAATTGCATAATGTTAGTTGTCGTATGGCATTCTTTGTAAAAAGTACGACAACAGTTAAGGTGGGATCTATTGAGGATGACATCGTATGATCGTAGCAAAGAGTTCCGGGTTGGCAATATCCTTGTAGAATTCAACAGCAATATTTTCAAGCACGTTGTTGGCATTCTGAACTCATCAGGACAGGTAACATAAACCTTGCCAAGTCCATCGATCGTTTAGGTACATATACATCGACGATGTGTGTTCTTAGAATAAGAGATATTTATAAACTACGTCTATCGTTTATAACCAACTTTCTTCATCAGCCGCTTACCCCAATCTTTGCTAACAAAGCGTGTAAAACAGGGACGGTTTATTACCAAGCAGTACTATTGTTGTAACAAATTCAAAATTTCGATCTTGACATTTCCCTTTCTTGATAGTAACATTTCTGCTTGCCTCATCCACAGTTTCTACATGTCATATTTGATTCGGCATTCATGGGTTTGTATAGACTATCACTATATCGGCGATATACATCACTGCTGATAGACCCACTTACAGCACGCAGGTTAATTGATAGTATTGGCCAGTTATATGGTTGTCATCCAGATCTCATAGGAAACTGATACATATTTCTTTGTTTTTGATTATGCTTATAAGTGTTCTTTTTTCTCTCTCTCTCTCTGAAGGCGTCGCCTCGTTTGAATTTGACCTAGATTTACAAAGCACGTGGCGTCGTTGAAGCAGATGTGACAGAATGCTTCTACAGAAGAACATTGCAGAAATATCATATAAGGCTGATATAAACACAGACATTCTACCACTTTTGTGATGAAAAAACCTTTCCACTAACTACCATGGATTATTGGACGATAGACAATGGGCAGGCGTGTATTAATTTCTACCAAACCATCGCTCTTCCAAAAACGTCCCCCGCAAATGTACCGGTAAACAATCGAGTCGCGGGACTGTCGCTGGACTGGTTTCATTTACCCTCATTTGATATTGTATGAGTTTGAAGATTGGCTAACAGACAAAACATTTATTTTTTACCTTTGTATCTATTTATAATATGTCGAGGTCATAATCAGAACTGCTGAGCTTACCTCAAAGATGACATGAAATAGTGTTTGTAAATCTTGTCAAGCGCTTATTTTACCGATTGAAATAAATATCTTCGATAAAGCATGATGTCAGTGTTTTTCGCCTGTCCGACGAATGTCGACTAAATAAAAATAAGAAACCTTCCCAAATATGTCCTGGTTATATAGACAAAATAGGACAACTGTCACAGTGTCAGACATGATAAAAAAAACGCGCAGCTTGTTATGAAATAAAGACATATAGGCATCGCGTAAAAATAATATCGCTTGCGAAAAAAAAGCCTATTTGAATGACTAGATCACATTGCTTATCAAAGGCATATGGACAATGAGGTAGACACGAGAAAGACTTTCGTTACATTTTACTTGGTAGAATAGGTATAATCGACATACGTTTGTATATTATGGTGGAATGTATAACTCGGGATTCGAAATGCTGGAAAAAAATAAACAACTCAGGCCCCAAGCGGCATTTGTTATCCCCCCCCCCCCCCCCAACATTTTCTCACATTCGTTATATATTCCACCATAATACACGCACAAACGTGATTGTTTCTTAAATAACCTTAAATAAAGAATTGGCAGAGTGGATATACTCATTTTATTATCTCTCGTAAATAAATAGTAAGAATCAGTCAATTCTCATTGAACTTAACAATATCTTACAAGACATGCAAAGCTACATTTGGATAATTTTCCAGCGGTAGCAACCAGTTCCACTCAAAGCAGCGGACGACGACGGTGGGATGGTTATTTAAACTTTCTGCTTCGGTGACCTAAATACATGTATACTCGTTCAATCTTGGGTACTAAACGTATCAACATAAGATTAAATATTTCTTTTACGTTAAATGGTTCAAAGGAAGAATGTGAAGTTAAGTTAGTTATGTTAGGCTTTGTTTGCAAAAAAACCCGTTAACATGATGCTTTCCACGATCACAGACGTTACAAAAACGATAACACTGATTGATACATGCTGATATATAATGCTTTATTACATGATCTTGTAAGAATCAAACATTTGACAGGACACGACGATAAAGAGGCAAGCATTATACGGATATGGCACGGATAGGCTGTTAGATAGGCGTTACCAGTCACACGTTCTGCACGTGCAGATCAGCGGGAAACGGTCATGTCGGAAGGCGAAGTACCCCAAACCATATCCATATTTATATGTTGACCGTTTACGTCTCGTGCTTTCTCCGTCACCTGACCCTGCCTCGTCCGACTGAGAGATCAATTCTAGAGCCTCCTCGCTAAATTCATCAGCATCTGGTTCGATTAGTCCATTTATGCCTGGCTGAATACCCCCGGCGTAGTAATTGTCACAGTAGATGAGATACTTCCTGTCGAGGTGTAAAGTAGGCTCACACCTGGTATCTGCTCCGCAGCATGTCTCACTAGATGTAAATACATGTATCATCATTAAATTCTAAACGAAATTCCGAACATCACAGCTTTTCTCTATTATAGCAAGCTCCATGTTACAGAGTAAAGAACAGATCGAGTAATGTCAATACTAATCTATCATCAGGATAGGTCTTAAATAATCCAAAAACAAACATGGTGAAATTCTCGTTATGCTATTTCAACTGTAGAATTATCCAAATTATAAAACCTAGGCTTTGCGTGATGAAACCTACCGCTGCTAAATGGAAACAAAAGGTAAACGATAAGGGCGAGTGCCATTTCTATGATTGTGGTGACATTTAAATAAAAATGAAACTTCAAAAAATCAACAATACATTCTAATAAATTGACTTGTTTGTATGATAGGAAATATTGTTACTGTACCGGAGTACATAAACAGACTGACACACCCATTCTGCTTGTTACAAACACTTTCCGTAAAAGAATTTATCACGAAGAAAAAGAATCTTAAAACTGGAACAAAAACAAATATTTTGATGTAAAAATAAAGATGAGCATTCAAAGCCGTGTTCACATTAAACGCTATCTGCTAATTGTATCACCGTATTGATATTAAGCGTCATTAACTGTCAATATTGTGTGACATTAAACTTTATTTTCTTTTTTTTTTGGTCCTGATATTAATTGTAATCATGTTGATATCAAACGTGATTTCTGTAATAACGGTGTAGGTATTAAACGTCATCTACTGTAATGACGGTGTAGGTATTAAACGTCATCTACCGTAATGACGGTGCTGATATTAAACGTTCTTTTTGTTTTATTGTTTTGATATTAAATGCAATCTGTTGTAGTTACGGTGTTGTTGTCAAACACCATCACTGTTCTTGTCATAGTAATAATAAACGTTAGTATAACCGTATACATATTTAACGTTATCGGCTGTTATACGAACACGTCTGCTACATGTGTGTCACATTCTAAAATTTAAAATTGATTCAACTGTATCACCGTGTTAATATTAAATGAACCCTACCGGCGAGAAAACAGTGCATTTAATTTAACAAAATATTAAAACAGTTTTCCCAACAAATGACATAAATGTTGCCCTTACATTTCATACTTACCCACAACACTCCGCCTTGTAAATATCTGGTGCGACAATCCAACACAAGATCGATCCTCCTTTCTTCCAGAACCCAAGGATATCTTTTTTCTCTGTTTTACAGAGGGATCTGCCACTGAAACAGCACAGTGTGACAACATATTGTCATTTTTTCTCCGAGATACATATTTTGATCTGCATTCTTTATTATATATTAATATATATATATAAACTTTATTCATTTTACAACAATAATGAAACAAGTTATTACAACTTATGTTAATTACTCTTGTTGGCCCGGATGTTAGCGCGCGGGGGTCTTATTGTGGGAGGAAACCGGAGTTTCCGGAGTAAACCCACTTGGTCGGGCAGGTGACCCCATACCTTTTCACGTCCGATTGGGGAATCGAACCCGGCCGCCTCTGTGAAAGGCAAGTGCGCTATCCACTGCAACATCCGACCACTTCTTACTATATACACATACAACTATCGAATAATTTAAACTGCGGCTTATTCCGTCTTTTCGTATTGCAGAGTTATCTGCTCTTGTGAGCAGGAATTGCTTGTTACGTCATTTGTTTGTGAGAGTAACGTCATACGTTTTTGAGAAAACCGACGCAACTTTCTCACACAAACTAACGACGTAACAATCAATACCTGCTCACAAGAGCAGATAACGCTGCAATCAAAAAGACGGAATAGCGGTCATCTTTCAGTGTTCGCAAAGAAAATGACCGTAACATACACACATGTGATTGCACCTGGACATTTTGGTAATAGAAACAGTACGCCAGGAATGAATTGCACTTCATTATAAAGCTGTTTCGTCTTTTTAGGATTCATCGGTGACGTTAGGGGCCAAGCAAGTGGAACAAGAACAGGGCCCGTATTCATGAAACCATACTCATGCTCAAGCATGGATTCTGTGCTCAAAGCAACTTTCTTGTAACTCGCTTAAATCATGTCAAACGATCAAAAAGTCAAATGTAAAGATTGAAAACAGTTTTCGGGCTTAAGTCGTAAGATACTTACACATCCGGTATCTCAGGCGAACTACCCGCTTTGAAGCTTTTGAAATATCTGAAGGCCTGCCAGTTTTTTTTCAGGGCGATTTTAAGTCCATTTCTGTTCAATAAATGGGACACAGTTGTATTTTGTGATGATTTAACCAGCAACATGTACAGTTCTAGTCTTTAGTGTTAATATACTCTAGCACACAATGTCATGATACACAATCTAAAGATGGATTGACCACTGTTGTCATTGGCCGGCCGAAGGGATGTACTTTAACATCAGCAACTGATAACGCTGTGTACTCTGGTAGATATTGTCATCGTTAGTACTGATTTGAATTGTAAAACTTCGAAGAAACATGCATACAATAAGCTTTTACTTCAACAATATTTAATTTGACGGTTGGTTGGTTTGAATCTTCACTTACGTTGTGACTGTTACATGTATAGACCTATCCTCATCCCATAAATCTGTAGCTATTAGATTTAATGATACATTTGGATGACTAACAATATCAGGTTTAATATGAATCGTGGCAAGCATCCTAACGCTTTAATAAAGTAAAAACACCATTCGGAATGAAGCAGTTTTCCTAATGGAAAATAGACACTAATAGAGAAATCCGTTCGGGAAATGATGGTGAATTGCAAAATCTCAAAAATAGAAATAAAAGCAACTCTTTTCTGGTTATACGGTAAATTCTAAATGACTTCCGTAGATAAAGCTTAACCCCTTAACAATTCTTTCGCATAAATATATGTAACTGAAAATAATTACGTACGATTAATGTCCTGCGGCCCCAACCCCAACATAACTGAACATGACATCATTGACCAGCTGCGCTACTTAACACTAACAAACCGGTAGGTCATGACACAATCCCCCCCCCCCCCCCCCCCCCCCCCCCCCACACACACACCCCAATATAATAACTTTTGCCAAACGTCAAATCGTTTTGACCATAGACACCTTAGCACTCTGCTGCTTGAACAGAATAACGAGCCATGATATAGCTCAATTGGCATTTTTACTTTATGCCATGTGAGATGTAGATAAACACACTTACATTGAAATATGTTAATCATCATTTTTATAGTTAGAAATTTACCTAGAAACTAATCACAATTACTTACTGAAAATAATGAAATTCAGACGTTCGTAGAGGTTCACAAATAAGATCCTTTTCATCTATTTTGGAATTATCGACGTAAATACATCCGCACTTATAGCCGTAGCAAGAAGAGGTTCCTCTAAATAGTGTAACGAAGACAACAACGGCCAGCAATATCTGTAAAAAAATATTATATAAAAAAGGAACTTGGCGTCTACAGTGACCTATTTAACATATATTAACAGTAATAGCCAAATCAACATACAGGAAACTATCTCAAACGAAATTTAATCTCCCGGTAGTAATAAGGACATAACTACAGCAAACGGTAATATTAGGGTTACGAAAATCAGATACAGAATGAAAGAGTACAACGAAGATTACATACAAAATGAGACAGGGTAACAAAGATAACAAACAGAATGAGACAGATAAACAAAGATAACATACGGAATGAGACAGGGTAACAAAGATAACATACAGAATGAGACAGATAAACAAAGATAACACAGAATGAGACAGGGTACCAAAGACAACATACAGAATGAGCCAGAGCAACAAAGACAACATACAGAATGAGACAGAGCAACAAAGACAACATACAGAATGAGACAGGGTAACAAAGACAACATACAAAATGAGACAGGGTAACAAAGATAACATACAGAATGAGACAGACAAACAAAGATAACATACAGAATGAGACAGATAAACAAAGATAACATACAGAATGAGACAGGGTAACAAAGACAACATACAGAATGAGACAGAGCAACAAAGATAACATACAGAATGAGACAGGGTAACAAAGACAACATACAGAATGATACAGAGCAACAAAGATAACATACAGAATGAGAGTGCAACAAAGTTAACATACAGAATGAGAGTGCAACGAAGGCAACATACATATTGTGACAGGGTTACAAAGACAACATTCAGAATGAGAGAGTGCAATGAAGACAACACACAGAATGAGAGAGTTAAACAAAGACAACACACAGAGTGAGAGAGTTAAACGAAGACAACACACAGAGTGAGAGAGTTAAACAAAGACAACACACAGAGTGAGAAAGTTAAAGAAAGACAACACACAAAGTGAGAGAGTTAAACAAAGACAACACACAGAGTGAGAGAGTTAAACAAAGACAACACGAAGAGTGAGAGAGTTAAACAAAGATAACACACAGAGGGAGAGAGTTAAACAAAGATAGCACACAGAGTGAGAGAGTTAAACAAAGACAACACACAAAATGAGAGAGTGAACGAAGACAACATACAGAGTGAGAGAGTTAAACAAAGACAAGACACAGAGTGAGAGAGTTAAACAAAGATAACATACAGAATGAGACAGGGCAATAATAACAAAATGGTAATGGATAGGGCAACAAAGAAGATTATATACACAATGAGACAGAGCAACTCATTTAGATAAATTGAATAACATGATGTATAATTTGCGTGTAGATTTCACGAAAATGTTTATATTACGATTGATGGGTACTCGTCCTCTGATCAAAGTAATATTACAAATTTCCTCAACGGATTACTTAATTATTTTATTGATTGATTGAAACAATTTCGATGCAGTATGACATAGAGGTTTGATGGTGCGGTTAAATTGCTTTAGGTGAGTTATACAAAAATATTTTCTCTCAGAAGGTAATTCAAATCATTCGTTTTCCTCTGTAGGTTTTATAGAAGCAAAAGTTCATCAAGGATAAACTGTTTGGCCATTTTTAGTTTATATGAAAATATGATGATATCTTCGAATCGGCAAATCGTGTATTTTTACAATGACTATAGGACTGGAAAATCCTCCGCTGTCAGCACTGTATAATGTACAATTTAAACAAATATATAATGATTTAATAAATTATGACATCATCATGGACATATCTCATCAAAGTGAATCTAACTGACAGATTCTTTGGATGTATATCAAACGTAAGTATTGCAAATTGAAGTCCTTACGTTTGTTTTTAACTTTGAAATAAATATTCTATCAAATCAATGTGTTTAATTAATTGTGGATTAAAATTGGAAAAACAAATACGCTACGATTATAGCGTATTTGATTACAGACGCAGCAATGATACAGTGATGAAGACATTCTAGCCTTGTTTTAAAGTCCAGTAAACTTGAATAGATATCTAGACATGCTAAATGCATGCTCTGAGATTGGTGGGTTTCTTTTAATTCACTAATACCACGTTTCTCTCAAATCTCAAATACTGCGGACTTAGATAAAATTTTGAATTATGATTTGATGGGAAAGTGCTCTTCAATTTCCTGGTTCTCGAAGGGTGGACGGGGTTTGAGTCATGTCAGTTGAGAAAAAATGAACTTGTTACGGAAACTGTAACCGGAAACTATAACAAAGGTCGTATTGATGTTGAGAATTTATAAAGAATTCCTTTGAAAAGTTTTAGAACATGTCTGTGAATTAAGTAGCGTTGCTAGTTTTGAATGTGAAAAGTTAGAGATGGTCCGAAGGAAAGTTGTCAGTATTACAACCTTGCTTTCTTCATATGCTTGTTTTGAAAAATGTTTTCACTTATTTGAATAATATTTGTATACATGTTAATATAACACCAGTGCTAACATATTGACGTGTGACGTTTCGGCTTAGTACAATATGTAGTCTGTCAAAGTGACTGTTAAAGCGTGTATACACAAAAGTTTGATATGTACGAAATGTCAATAAAATTGTTAAGTCGATTCGGCTATGAAAGGCGCACGCACATCTATGACGGGGAATTAAACGAAGCTTTTCTAAATCGATTCGTCGGTATCTTAGAGCGATCACAACATTGATTGAATTCTTCACATCTTTTTTTAAAATGTGAAATACACACTCACCCCCGACTATCTTTTTAAGGTTAGGGATGTTAAGCTGAATATTCAGCACATACAACTCTAGCACCATTGCAGTTCCCTTTAATTTCTTAAAACAAACATTTTAAATAAATAGTGCAGTTTGAAATTTTGGGTATGATTGTGACAATTGTTTGTTTAACAGTTGAAAATTAATATTCTACGGAAATATTTCAGACAAAATAGCCTATATTATCATCATGAAACTATATAGTGTTATAGGAGTTTCTTTATTAATTCATACAATGGAAAAAGTAAATAATATACTGACGCACGTTTATTTTGTTTCTTTATAACTATTACTACAGATAGTTAAAATATATTCATTATTGTTACATCCTGATCGATTGTAATTTCTAATGAAATTGTAACCATTTTACCTTGTAACTGATGCATACTTACTTTTACTTAGAATACATATTCATGTTCAGGGGTATCTACCCCAAATCCTCACTCATTTACTGTATTTCACTATTAACTGGCGAGAAGATAAAGTATTCTGTCTGTCTCTCTGTCTGTCTTGATCAGCAAAGTGCTTGTTAAACAAGCCGTCAACGCTACGTGAACGTTAAACGCTCACGTAAACGCCGCGCGCTTTCGTTCCTCGTTTATTTGGTAATGTTATAACATTTTACATTGTATATTTATTATGCATGGGATTCAATTGTTCATATTCGCCTTGCAAGATATGAATGTCAATTGTGATATGATTTTGAAATGACAACATATTGCACTAGTTTTTCTTCTACACATAATGTTTTGAGAGTTTCACCAACGTTATGAGATAATTCTACAGGTTTAAAATTTAGATTGAAAAAAAGTGTTATTCAAATTAAGCATACGTAGGTTAATAACTTTCAAAACGATGCATATATAAAAAATGTCATTGGAACTTACCTAAGTGATGATCTCTTCCATAAAATAGTTACTAAAAGAAATGTTATCAGCGTGCTATCATAAGGTACGTGCACACATTTACATTGAGGGTGACATAACAAATAATTGCTACAGAAGCTTAAAAAAGAAATTTAAGTGACCTATTATGTCCTTTAAACATTTCAAGGATACATAGAAGATATCATAGTAGCTTTATATTAAATGTATGATAGTGTACTTACCTGAAGGGGCCCCATCTTAGTCTTCGCAATACTGATATGAACAGGAGTTTATTTATACTGCATTTTCTGATTCTGTCACCCAATAGCTCTGCTATACGTGTACCAAAACTCTAAAATATATTCAAGTTTTTTAATAAAAAAACTAAAAGTGTACAAATGGACATTGTTACCTTTCAAAGTAAGTGATGTTTCTGTTGAGATAATGTTTTTATTGTTAATTAGCTGTTTACAAGTTAAAAAAACAATGAAACAAATGTTATCAAATGTGAAGTTTGTTTACCTAGGGCTCTTTACATATGCTTTCTTGTGCAATTGAAATAATGTCATTTAGCTGCAAGCAGGTAATTGTTTTTACATGGATCTTCTTTGAGATAACATAAGTCGAGGCAAAACTTTTTTGTTGTTGCGAAAGTGGAGTTTCTCCTATTTGCATTCTTTAGAGAGTTGATCACGAAAACCCTCATGGCTAACTTGATGCAATGCCTTTTAATATCAAATATATTGTACACTTTTGTTTGTTTTTACGAGTCTACCACTTTGTAACTTTACAGATGTGAGTGCACCGATATGGTAACAGATATGGAATGGTGTTCTGTTCAACAAAGGGGTTTGAAACAACATAGAGTCTCAATGTATTGTCCTTCTAACGCTTACCCTTAATTATATACAAGTACAAATATCTAATGTTGTAAACCAACCTTCGCTTTATGGCGGCCATCTTTATAGATACAGTAAGCCAAACATTAATAACACAGCATCCTACATTTCGTCAAAGGATTTATCGGTGATGTTGGGGGCAAACAACTCGCAACTTAAAATTGGTCTAAACTACTGTTGCAACAGAAGGAGAGGTATGTAAAACCTGCAATCATATGAATTGACAACAAATAGAAGAGTACTGGATTTTATAAAAATAAATACTTATCAAATTGTGTATATTATTCATATACACCGTGCCCACACTCAATAGATGCAATGGTAGTTATCAAAGCTAACTTTGAGGACTATGAAAACCACATTGAATCCCGATGGGAGCTGATTTCAAAGGGTATGACACGGCCAAGCAATATCTACAATATCTATAAAAGTACATTTGTACTTCTAATGTTGTAACGTGGACATGTTTACTCCAGTATATATGACTGATGGGCAATTTGATAGGCAAAGTCCATACAAATATACATGCATTTTATCAAACAGATTTACTAATGCACATATAGCACTGTTTTGCATAGACAATTGCCAGGGGGTATACACTGTACATTCTTTTGTAGATGGTGATATCACGGCTGGATTCAGCCGCCTAGCCGACACCCTCATACATTATTTATCTATTGATAACAAGTCGGTAACCGCCACCAGAACAAAACCACGCGTTTTCATTATTTTTATTGAAAGATAACTCGCAGCGTATAAGGGCGTTTAAGATGTGTTTTCTTGGAATATATCAAATAATTATATGTCGACGTTGCTTCAGTTTTTCCTGTGATACTCTGCGGCGTCATAAGTTCAACACTACGTACCTTCACTTCAACATGACATGCTATTTGTTTGCCCTCCATTTGTACGTAAGTTCTTTGAATGGAACGAAAAGTCTTTACCTTTCTGATATTGTATTTTAAGAATGTGTTGTTTCTTTTTATAGAAATCAGCTTTTGAGCTGGTCAACGAAGCCTAACAGCTTTTGCTATCGTGCTGGGAGAAAGAGTTTGTGTACAGGATAACTATAAAATTAGGGGTCGGTTTAGCGTCATCTTGTAGCGTGGGAATTGGACGGAACGCTTTGAGTATGAGAATTGTATAATAAACCGTTGATATTTCATTAATTTAATTTGATAGTTGTCGATATAAAGATGTTTATTGTTGCGTATTGTCCTAGTTATTGGCTCGTTTCGTCATTGTCAATCTTTGTATATCTTCATACGTTATTTTCCTGTTTTGCTGTAATGTTATTATTTTGTACATTTTCTTCGTCTCAAAACAGAAGCATATTGTCTACACCGTTAAAATTATTCCTTGCCCCATGCATACATCAATTTACAGCTGTGCTTAATCTATGAAGCCTAGACTGGAACGAAACGTTTTTGTTTTTGTAAAATTCAGTTTTTAAACTCAGTTTCGTACATCACACACATTGCACACCATTTTTAACAGTGTTTTCATTAAATATCATACATGTTCATGTATATAGGGACCTCTAAACCACGTATTCGATTACTACAGTAACTTTATATACAGTACCGTTTGTAAGTTAACGAGATTGCACATAAATGCTACCAAGTCTTCCGTGGATGGCTACTTTTTGTATTGACACTACTGAATTGCCCGTATGGAAATATGATTTTCTACAGAAAATATTAAAACGTACGATTACTTTTAACAAAGGGTGTATTTAATCGTACGTAATTATACTACAGTTTACATATACACTATTATCCTTACACAGAGACTAAAAAATTATCACACTCTGTTTTAAGGGTTGTTCCGGAGAACAACTATCTCATTGTGAGCGCTTAGATAAATCCGCCGCAGATGGACTCGTTATTTACGTGCGAGCGTTGATAAGTTTTTTTCGAAAGATAAACCCTGGAAACACTGTGTGATAAAATGTTTATCATCTATAAATTACTATAAAATAAAAATGTTGACTTAATACTAAACCTTCCAACCGACTTCTAGTGATTATCGACATCCTTGGTTACCGACAAATGAAAGTAATGTAAAGCGCAGAGGTTTACCATCAACCGTAAGACAAAAATGTTTTGTAATATTTTCTTATCATTCCGTGAAGCTGATATATTAGCATATTCCTACATAAAATTGTGTGGTTTTGTTTAATAGGACTTAACAAATTTATGAATAATTTGTATATGACCTATTTTTATTTTCTGTCGCGGAGTACTATCACGACCTAAAATGACGCGATCAGATTACCTATTATGAGTAAAAACTCATTCTCAAAAGGAATATACCATTTTCCAGTCGGTCATACTGACAACTTGTTATAATGAATTTGTCGTGGTTCAATAAAGTGATACATACTCTTGACTATCTAACCTTCTCTTGATATATTTGTGTGTAAAAAGTACATGTAGTTAAATACATTAAAAGTATACAATTACATTGCATTACATAGGTTATTTATAATTACTAATTCAGTATGGTGATTTTGCTGGTTCAGCGTCAATACGCAATTTGAATTCTGGTACAACTCTTATTACTGTGCTAGTGACTGACCAAGAAATGCTATTCTTTTACATGTACATCGACTTTTGCAAGAGTTGTTTCTCTTTAGGCAATGACGCTGTTTTGACATGATGTTTACATATTCAGAGTATATGAAAAGTATTTTAATTTAAGAACATGTTAAAAACATGCTGCTTATAAAACTGGTAAAAAATCATGACATTCCAATCTGTATTACATATAATACTATGTGTTTCACTATATAAGTACAAACACAGCTTATCGCTATATCCACCTTACGGGAAATTTAGTGGCAATGAATTAAAACAAGACGTCATGAGTGAAGAACAATACAACTCAAAGTAAAACTAGAGCGTCATCTGTTAAGGACACTCCTGCATTCAAAATAAAACCATAGTGTCATCTGTCAAGGACACTCCTGCATTCAAAGTAAAACCATAATGTCATCTGTCAAGAACACTCATGCATTCAAAGTAAAACCATGGTGTCATCTGTCAAGGACGCTCCTGCATTCAAAGTAAAACTATAGTGTCATTTGTCAAGGACACTCCTGCATTCAAAGTAAAACCATAATGTCATCTGTCAAGGACACTCATGCATTCAAAGTAAAACCATAGTGTCATCTGTCAAGGACGCTCCTGCATTCAAAGTAAAACTATAATGTCATCTGTCAAGGACACTCCCGCATTCAAAGTAAACCATAATGTCATCTGTCAAGGACACTCCTGCATTCAAAGTAAAACTATAATGTCATCTGTCACGGACACTCCTGTATTCAAAGTAAAACCATAATGTCATCTGTCAAGGACACTCCTGCATTCAAAGTAAAACCATAGTGTCATCTGTCAAGGACACTCCTGCATTCAAAGTAAAACCATAATGTCATCTGTCAAGGACACTCCTGCATTCAAAGTAAAACCATAGTGTCATCTGTCAAGGACACTCCTGCATTCAAAGTAAAACCATAGTGTCATCTGTCAAGGACACTCCTGCATTCAAAGTAAAACCATAGTGTCATCTGTCAAGGACACTCCTGCATTCAAAGTAAAACCATAGTGTCATCTGTCAAGGACACTCCTGCATTCAAAGTAAAACCATAGTGTCATCTGTCAAGGACACTCCTGCATTCAAAGTAAAACCATAGTGTCATCTGTCAAGGACACTCCTGCATTCAAAGTAAAACCATAGTGTCATCTGTCAAGGACACTCCTGCATTCAAAGTAAAACCATAGTGTCATCTGTCAAGGACACTCCTGCATTCAAAGTAAAACCATAGTGTCATCTGTCAAGGACACTCCTGCATTCAAAGTAAATTCATAGTGTCATCTGACAAGGACACTCCTGCATTCAAAGTAAAAACAAAGTGTCATCTGTCAAGAACATTCCTGCATTCAAAGTAAACCATAGTGTCATCTGTCAAGGACTCTCCTGCATGCAAAGTAAATCCAAAGTGTCATCTGGCAAGGACACTCCTGCATTCAAAGTAAATCCATAGTGTTATCTGTCAAGGACACTCCTGCATTCAAAGTAAAACCATAATGTCATCTGTCCAGGACACTCCTGCATTCAAAATAAAACCATAGTGTGATCTTTAAAGGACACTCCTGCATTCAAAGTAAAAACAAAGTGTCATCTGTCAAGAACATTCCTGCATTCAAAGAAAACCATAATGTCATCTGTCAAGGACACTCCTGCATTCAAAGTAAAACCATAGTGTCATCTTTCAAGGACACTCCTGCATGCAAAGTAAATCCAAAGCGTCATCTGTCAAGGACACTCCTGCATTCAAAGTAAAACTATAATGTCCTCTGTCACGGACACTCCTGTATTCAAAGTAAAACCATAATGTCGTCTGTCAAGGACACTCCTG